CCATTTTCAAAAATTTTCTATATACACAATACATTCAATCTAAAGAAAATTTTAATGATAAAATGTTTCTATAAACAACTACTTTTTTCATTATATTAATTAAAAATAGCTGAGTGGCAGAATGGCCACTAGGGGTCTGCAGAAAGGCTACAAACCTTTTGTTTGAATGTCAAGTGCAAAATCCTGAGTCTTGCTCAGTGTTATGCAGCAATTCTCTTAGAGCCGTGTTTGTACTCCCTGTAGAGCTGCTCCCATGAACGCGAGTGAAAGGTGTGTGTGTGCGTGTGTGTGTGTGTGTGTGTGTGTGTGTGTGTGTCATGACCATCCCTTCTGAGAGCTGTTTGCACATTCTCTGCTGTGATTGTCTCCAGGGACCCTGCTGCTTATAGCAGGTTCCAATCTGAAAGAAGGCCTGAGGCTTTGTGGGAATGCATCTCTCACCCACAGGCTTGTGTTTGACATCAAACCCAGCAGTGGGCTCTGAGGGAAAACAGCCTAAGGGATTCTCCCGATTCCTCACTTCACCTGCAAAGACCCTGCTGTCACTAACTTAATCCAATCATATTCTCCTTCACTGCTGTCCCTGAACAGGCACAGCCCTCAATCAAATCTGTGCTGAGACATTACAGAGTTACCGATATTATTCCAAAAAGGTTCACTATAGTTTTCTATCATATAAAACCAATTTTATCCTATTCCATAATGACTGTGCAAGGTGTATAATATCAAAAGGAAAGTTATAACATACTTAATAAGCAAAACACCTCATATTTAAAAGTGGTGATCAAATATCAAGGCAGATAACTTGGCAAATTAGTAAATCACTATAAATAGATAAATAGATAACATTTAGCATTTAATAACATTTTGTTGTTCCTAAGAAATATTGAATATTGAAATATTGTATTTAAAAATGTTTAACATCTAGTTTATAATATTTCAATGTACAATGTTAGTACATTTATTAGTAAAATAAATTATTTGCATATTAAATGCTTTTATATTATTATAAACTGTTATCATTATTAAGGGTTCTGTGTATAAAATTTAGGGGGATATGTTAGCAGATATAGAATATAGTATGCAAAACTATGTTTTAATTAGTGTATAGTCACAAATGTTGTGTTTCCGTTGAGCTCTTCAAACCATTTTGTGTTGTAAGAAGTTTGAGAACCCAATTTTGACAAATAGAGGATCATATTTATTTTTTAGCACAAGTAAAAGCAAGGGAGGGTGAATCCTCATCAACAAAGAAGCAAAAACATGATGGGCACCATAGGCTGTACTACATACTTAGAAAGGGAGGGGCGAGGGAGGGGTATCAGTTGGTTGCAATCTGCAACCTCATCACTAGATGCCACTAAATCCTACACACTGCACCTTTAAAATGATTATCATCATTATTAATATGATTAACTTTTCACAGGTATTATTAACATCAGGTGCTGTCAAGTTGACTCCATCTCCTGGCAACCATATGAATAATGTTTCTCCAGAATATCCAGTCTTCTGTTTGGGTCTTTGGCCTTATTAACGGCTTGTTCATGAATCCTCTCAGTGCTGGCCGCCCTCGTCCTTTTTTACCTCCAACTGTTGCAAGCAAAACTGTCTTTTCCAATGAATTGTTTCTTCTCATAATATGTCCAAAATGAGAGTTTGAGGATGGTCATCTGGGCTTTGAGAGGTGAGGCTTGATTTGGCCAAAGATCTTTTTTTTGTTTGTTTTCTTTGCCGTCCAAGGATCTTTCAAAAGCCTTCACTAGCACCAGTTCAAAGGCATCAAAATTGTTCCTGTGCTTTTTATTGTCCAGCTTTCACATTTATAAAGAACCACAGAGAATACCACAGCTTGGACAATGCTGATCTTTGTTTGTAGGGACACATGATTATATTTGAAGATTTTTTCAAGTTCTCTCACCCTTGTTCTGCTGAGCGCCAATTTGTATCATATCTCATATCTTGTTGGATCATTTTTGTTATCGAGTAGATCAAGTAGACAAGTATTAAGCAGACAAATGCCGTTCACCACCTCTAAATCTTCACCATCAGTGGTAAAGTTTGCAGCCTCTTGTTTTGTTTGAGCTACAGTCCCACCTTTTCACTCTGTTCTGTAACTTTCCTTCAGGTCATCCTGGTTTTCTGCTATGAGTGTTGTATCACCCAAATATGGAAGATTATTGATGTTTCTTCCACCAGTCTTGAATACTCGATCACCTTCCTCCAGTCCATAGCATATATGCATTTATTGACTCCCTTTGTATAGAATCAAATTGTCATGTAGTTCCCATCAAAGCATGACAAGACTACTGTACACATTGAAATGCCACCCAGACTAAATTACACATCATACATGAACAGACTTCTGTAGCCTGTTTAACCGTTTGGCTTTCATATTTCTGCCCCTAAGGAAGATGTTTTACACAATTTGTACCTCAATCTTGTGGTGAACGTGTCATTCTGTAATTTTTATCCTCAGAAGATGAAACCAAACTTGAATTTGTCTAATAAGGAATTCTGACTTTGAGCTATTTGCAAAATCTCCAGAATGTGAATGCTGTTGAAAACAGGCTTCACTGTCGATGCAAAATTGTTTTGGGGTAAAGGTTGCACAACAGTTGCTCTGTTTGGCTTCACTGAGCCAGTCCATCTCATTATACGTAAGCAGACGTGTCTGTGTGTGGAGTTTAATCTGGGACCTTGTTGACTTGGAGCTAAACAGCTGTCTATATTCATGAGACCTCGATTCTTCACAGCTGCATCACTCTAAACATGGATGTGCTTTCCATTATTCAGCACTACACACGCCTCCATTGTCCACTACAGAATAAAAACAAGCCCTCGTCTTTTCTTTCCTCCTCAGAGATAATCTCATCAGTGGAGCAGGTGTGACTTCAGGCCTCTCATACACACACAATAGTAATCACAAAGTGGCAGGGACTGTTTTGTTCTCATTATCTATGTTTTAAATATGTAAAAACATCTGTATTTCCTTTCATAAGCACATAATAACAAGTGAATTGCATTTGAAACATGCAAACAGGTGGTTTTAGTCTGAACTCTGTCAGCTAACAGTGTTAGAATGATAGACTAAGTTACTAGTTCACTAATTAATCTTTTGATTAGTTAGAAATGAGGATCCGTGCATACTGTTTTTCACAGGTTTGCCATTCCTAAATGTAAGACAGCAGCAAATGGCACAATATAACTAAATAAACAAAGAAAATGTCCAAGACGAAAAACAATCATGTAAGAAAATAGGGTCAGGTATTAGGACAAATCAAAAGACCTACTGTCTATAATGTTGAGAGTAAGGTCATCAAACAAACTCAAATAAACTTGTGAACCAGGAAATAATGGCTACTACAGAAGGCCATGCAGACCAAATGTGTCAAAGATGACCACGGAATTGCTCCGCATCACGAAAATGACCCAAAACAGTTATATTAACTATTATATAACTATATTTTTACACTAAACAATGATAAAACATCTGAGGACCTGCTTCAGCTAATCAACACTTCATGAAATTAAATCAAGTGTGCTGCTGATGGAATTTAAGAAATCTGTACCAAAGCTGGAATAGAGCAAAAACTCATAAACCAAACTGCATTATTCAAACCAAGATATAAAGAACTTTTTGTGTTTTCATCCATGCCTCATTACAATATTTACCCAGCATGCATTACACAAATACATCATACAATCATTTTTTTTTCAAATTATGATTATGCTCGCATAGCCATTGATGTGTAAGCTAAATCCATGATATTGTGATATTCTGCTTCCCAGCAGTAACACTGGCTATCTGGATTCCTTCTGCATTAGCCAGGTGATAAGGGAAAAAAAAACATTGCTAACTACCTGCCCTGAAGTATCTGCCCCAAAGCAGTTGTAGCAGAGCCAGTTTATAAGGAGCCTGGCCACTTCCTGTTTCCCCTGTTATATCAAAAACATGATTGCAAAACGCCAGAGGGCGCCCGCGAGCGAGTCCTCAATGAATGTAAGTAAAATCAGTAAACCCAATGGAAGTTCAGCTCAACGGCTAAAAACAAAAAGTTAAAATAGTTTCTAATCACTTGCCCAGAACTTTCCTTTAATTTTAGAAAGTAGAAGGATGCATTTCACTAAAAAAGCAAAGAAAACGTACCTATATATTTGCTTTTTTCTACAGCAAACAGGTTTTGGGCAGCAGGACGTTGGAATTACAGCTACTGAGTGCTGATTGGTTGGCGAGCGGAGCAGCCCATTGGCTGTTCGTGCTCACAGACGTCATAGATGCACGAGGCACTGTTTTAAACTCCTGTAACTCGAGTTTAAAAGCTCTTAAAAATCTAACAGCAGTGTTAAAATGTTTTATTCTATTCAGTATTCAGTGAATTATTGTATTCTTTTACATTAAAATGTTTAAGCATTTATAAATTATGGTTTTGCTCAAATGCTCCATCTTAACCCATTCATTTTGGACTCGCTCAGGAGCGCCCTCTAGCGTTTGAGAAACCCGGAAGTTCTACAAGTTCTCTGGTTGTAGTTTTTCAAAGTTCCTCCCACCTTCAAGATATGCCATCAGAAAAGGGGGCTCCTAATCTTTAAACCAGAAAATCTCATTCTTGTGACTACAGCGCTGCTGCTGGGGATGCGAATAAGCATGTTTACCACAGTAGTGATGTTTACACTTTTCATTTTGGACGGACTGTCCCTTTAATCAGGTCTTACGTAGCACTGGAAGATTTCTATGGTCTCGTTTTCGAATTGCGCCACCTGGTGGTACGTGTTATCATTGAGAACCCTATTACCAAGTAAAGTAAAAGTGTGGAAAAAGTCACAAACAGGAACTGAAAACGAGCAGCCATGCTCGTCTTTTGTGGATGTGCCCAAGCCATTTCAAATGGCTATCAATGTGACGCTCTACTGAAGAGCTAACCTGAAACAGAAAGCAAATATTTTATCTTTGTTTTTCCGGCACTGTGGCTGACCGGCGAACGTCTATGGTTTGTTAAGGTTTCACGTTGCATCCTGGGATACGGTCCGTGTTTGCCTCAGCTATCAAGATGGCCGAAAATGTTTGGTTGAGGGGTTGGAGCTGAACACAGACAGAACTGGAGCGACTGTGATGTTGAGTGGCAGGATTACAAGCCCGCGACAGAGCATATTCAGAAGTAAGCTGTCAACGTGTCACTCGTGTCGTGTTTTGGGCGCAGAAGCGCGGCGGCGGGGCGTGTTTTTAGCGGCTCGGCCCCCCGCTCCTGCGCTCCGGCGCTGCGGGGGGAGAGAGCGCGGATTCTGCGGCCTGAGGAGCTGAGCGGGACCCGGGGAGGGTTTGTTTTTTTCGTGGCTTTGCTAAATATTAACACCGCGAGTTGGGGAATAATAAGTTCTGCGCGGCTTTGAAAAAATATGAATTGGTCAGCGCTTAAGAACGGAGCTAGCTAGGCTAGTTAGCGAACTAGCAGAGTTAGCTCAGAGCTAGTGAAGCTTCTCCCGGTGACAGTTGCTGCAAGGTTACGGAGCGCTGCTGCTGGGCGCTGGATCGGTGCGCCCAGTCTGTTCATCGGTTCGATTTCGGTCTAAGTTTAACATTAGATTGCACGTTTGTGTTAGTGGCTTCGCAGCGGTCGCCGAAAATGCCGCCGCTGTTGACGGTGGAAGTTAGCTGAAAGCTCGTACCGTGTTTGTGCACAGTCATACCCCCCCTGCCCCCCGGCGGCCTGCCCACACACGGACTGCCAGCTACACTTTACTTCCACACCGTGTTCTAGTCATGACACGTCTGAGCGTTTAAAGAGTTTCGCGGTTTAGATTCTCCTCTACTCGCATGTTTTCTGCACGGAGGCTTTGTTATTGGACTTCCTCTGCACAGCACCTGTCAGTTCCACTTAGCTCTCATAGCTCAGGCTGCAAAAACGCGATCATGGTCCTCCGTGGCGCACTCTTGTCCTTGTCAAATGTTGCGTTTTCACATAAGTATGAACAGACCTGATTATTTTTTATTAAATTGTGCAGTTACTTCATATGCATTGCAGTTTACTCGTTAATGTTACATGACCAGAAAATGGAAAGCTGTGTTATTAAGTCCAGAGCTAACCTGTCCTCTCATCGTCTACAGGATTGTTTCCTGACCACATTTTGTTCTCTCTAGAGTTCTACAGTATAGAAGAGTCCAGCATTGGAAACTTTAAGCAAGTCTAATGTGAGTATATTGTCTTTTTCTCATAGAACCCTTTTCCAATTCTAAATAGCACATTTTTTCTGTATTGCTAGTATTGCACTCTGTTGCACTGTCAAACTGTTTTTATTGATGCCTGTGGCACAGCGAATAGTCTGTACCAGCAAGATTACAAAAAGTAAAAGTCAGCATTTTCTCTGTCTTTGGCATTTTATATTGGTTTTGTGGGATTCCCACATCCATGCTGTGGCTGCTGTCAGACTGTGTAATTGACGCCTGGGTGTCATGATCAGCATGCAGCCAGAATCCAACTGAATTGCTCTCTGAGAAACAAACCATAGCCTAGAAAATAGCATGCATAGCAAATGTTTTCTGTAAGTTGTGCTGCATGAGTATTTGCATTTCTCTTAAAAGCTTCTCTTACAGTTATATCCTCTTGATGAATTCTTGAATCTCTAATATTGTAATAACTCTTATGTCAGTCATATATTCTGTTCTTGTGATGAATACTGATATATTCATTCCTGGTGTTTTGACTGATTCTTTATCATCTTCGATTTGGTTTGGAAAAAAAGTAGTGGACATGTGAACTGAGTTATAGTTCACATGTAGTGAACTGAGCTATTATTTGCAGGGTGTTTGTTGTGCAAATGTCTTAACATTTTCATTTTGTTTGCGAAATTGAAGTGGCTGTACTGTATTGGCTCTCTGTACTTCTTGACACTGTTTTGCAGAGTAGCGTTTGCTCTTGTGGCATTAAAAGTAGTTTTGTGAATGAACTCTACTAATCCCCTGCTGCCCTGTTTGAATGTCTGATGCAGGAAGCGAGCAGCTGCAAAGCATCTAATTGAGCGTTACTACCACCAGTTAACAGAGGGCTGTGGAAATGAGGCCTGCACGAACGAGGCTTGTGGCTCCTCTCCGGGTTTCCGGCGCATGGATAACAATGCAGCGGCCATCAAGGCCCTGGAGCTGTATAAGAATAACGCCAAACTGTGTGATCCTCACCCCTCTAAGAAAGGCGCCAGCTCGGCTTTCCCGGAGAACAGTGCCAAAGGAGCCCACAATTTCTCTGCTTGCAGCAACGGGAAGATGAACCACAAGGATCTGCCTCCCACCAGGGAAGACTTTAGAGGTAAGCATAGCATTTTGTTTTTTTATTTGATTGGGCTGATTGGACTCTGCTAACGCTCACTTCTTTAAGCTAATCGAACTAAAATTACTGAAAACAGTACTACTTTTTTAATGTTTGTTGTTATTACATTATTTTTTGCACCCTCATTTTGCTTCTGTGATTTTTCAGATTTGAATTATTTGACAGAGGAAAAGGTTTACGAAATTCTGGCTCTCTGTGGTGAGACGGAAGACTACTCCCCTCTGATCCGTGTCATCGGGAGGGTCTTCTCCAGTGCGGAAAGCCTGGTGCAGAGCTTTCGCAAGGCTAAACAGCACACCAAGGAGGAGCTGAAGTCGCTGCAGGCCAAGGACGAGGACAAGGATGAAGATGAGAAAGAGACTGCCTCTGGTTCGGCCAGTGCCATGGAGGTGGACCCTGATGCCGCTGCCGCTTCCAGTGGAGAAGGGGCCTCTCACGACGGTAACAACGTCCAAAAGCTGGGTCCGGTTGAAGTGTCTGTGGACATTGACGCAGTAAGAAGAGTTTACGACAGACTATTGTCTAATGAGAAGATCGAGGCAGCATTCCTGAATGCATTGGTGTACCTGTCGCCTAATGTGGAATGTGACCTTACCTATCATAATGTGTATGCAGCTGATCCCAATTACTTAAACGTGTTCATCATTGTCATGGAAAACAGCAACCTGCACAGTCCCGAGTACCTGGAAATTGCCCTGCCACAGTTCTGCAAGGCCATGAGCAAGCTACCTCTCCCGGCTCTGGCCAAGCTAGCACGCCTTTGGTCGCAGTACGGAGCTGACCAGATTCGGCGCCTGGTGGAGACGTTTCAGCAGCTCATCACCTACACAGTCATCAGCAACGAGTTCAACAGTGATAACCTGGTTAACGAGGATGACGGCGTGGTAGCGGCCACCAAGTGCTTGAAAATTGTCTACTATGCAAACGTGCTGGGTGGCGACCTTGACACAGATCACAACGAAGAGGAGGATGATGAGCCTATCCCTGAGTCCAGTGAGCTGACCCTGCAGGAGCTGCTAGGTGAGGAGCGGCGCAACAAGAAAGGGCCACGCGTGGACCCGCTGGAGACGGAACTGGGTATCCGCACGTCGGACTGCCGCAAGCCCCTCATTCCATTTGAGGAGTTCATCAATGAACCGCTAAACGATGTTCTGGAAATGGACAAGGACTACACCTTCTTCAAGGTGGAAACGGAGAGCAAGTTCTCCTTCATGACCTGTCCATTTATTCTTAACGCTGTGACGAAAAACCTGGGCCTCTACTACGACAACAGGATCCGCATGTACAGTGAGCGCAGGATCACTGCCCTCTACAGCCTGGTGCAGGGGCAGCAGCTCAACCCTTACCTGCGCCTCAAAGTGCGCAGAGACCACATCATAGATGATGCTCTCGTCAGGGTAAGTCTGGAGTAGATTTTGAAGGTTTTCTTGGGGTATGTAAATGATATAGCTTAGATAAAATCACCTGAGCCACTGTATTTTCAGCATTTGTATAAAAACCTATTTACTTTTGGAGATATATGTAGTGCTGGTGGATGGAAATACAATAACAGTCCCACCATGTTTGTGATTTCAGCTGGAGATGATCGCCATGGAAAACCCAGCAGACTTGAAGAAGCAGCTGTATGTGGAGTTTGAAGGAGAGCAGGGTGTGGATGAAGGAGGTGTTTCCAAAGAGTTCTTTCAGCTGGTAGTAGAAGAGATCTTCAACCCAGATATAGGTAATCATTATCATATTTTCATGAAAATGTTGTTGTATTTCGTTTAAAGCTCACATGACATAAATCTTGCTTTAAATACATACCATACAGTTATGGAAACCAGCAGCTTTCCTTGTTACTCATTGTTTAGATGAGTGGCTAGGTTTGTTGCAGTCTGTAAAGATTCCTTGGTGTGTCTTGACTTTTTATATACTTTAAGTACATATACTTTACTTTTATATGATATAGGCTTTCTTAAAAGAATTGCTGAATCGATGCAGTGGTCGTATCAGATCTGACATAAACAAAACCAAGTGCATGTGTTAGAGGAGAAAGGTGAAGAGCCTGTTGGTTTTAGAAGATTGATACCAGTGTTATAATGCTTGTGAGTAGGATTTGGGTTTAATTTAGGGATGCATCAATACAGATACTGGCATCGGGCATTGGGCCGTTACTGCACTAATTTACTCGTGCTCATAAAAATTCACAGATACTAACATCTGATACCACCTAAAACCATGTCACATAAGCCTAGTGTAGTTAGTGCTGCTGTGCTAACGAACAAAAGACTCAAGCTGGTAGTGAACGAGGGTTTGCTCGCTTAAGGAAGTGTTGCTGACTTTGTGGCAGTCAGACACAGTCGTTGGACGCTTTGAACATTCCGCCTTGGCATATTCTCACCAGACCTACACTCTGTGATTTGATCTTGTATTAAGCACAATCAGAATTGTTTCCCCAATACAGGTGGAAGCAAAACAGTCGACATTTTCTACCAAAGTTCGTCTATGCCGACTTCACTCTGTTTGACTGAATAATATTATGAGGTTTAATCATTAATACGATGGATTTTTTTTCTTTTCTGAAATGGACTATAGACAGATCGTATTGACATACAGTATACATCCATGCCTGCTTTTAGCTTCAGTGCACAGTGTTAGCAGTTCTTCTGCAGCTCAGTTTCTCAGCGTGTTTGCTCAGTACTTAATGTGCAGATGACTGTAGGGGCTGTTTCATGTAGCAGGTCGGTCATACCGGATGTTTTCATGCTGTGTGGGTAATTAAAATCGTAGAGTTTGTCCATACATGATGGTCTATTCAAAAGTACAGTGTGAGTCACTAAAAAACAGTATTTCATAAAATCACACAGTGTATGTCTGGCTTTAGAGAGTATGCAACTACAGCTCAACCAGCCTTACAAAAGACTCCGAGAAGAAGTAAAACCCCACAAGTGAGATCATTGGATGCATTAGCCTCGGATGTCACTGTGCTACAGAGACTGGTAAAGAAAGAGACAGATGAGAACCAAAACTGTGAAACATACATTACTTACAGCTGTACACACTTTTCTCACATGCAGCAAAACCCACTCTGCAGCGCTACTTAATCCATGGTAAATAATTTAGCATAGTTAATGCACTTAATTTAAAATCAGCTGCATTGTTATTCTGCACTCATTTACATTAATAACTACTTAATTCAAAGTAGGTTACTCAGTACGGAATCGAACTCAGAATCAGCTCGTACTTGTACTTGGTCTAAAAAAATGGTGTCGTTGCATCACTAGTTTAATATAATTCTTAATCTAATTGTAATCACTTTGGTGTAAGATGATACTTCATTTTAATACTGGTTTAATATAGAGGTAAATGCTGTTAGCAAACTACACATCTACTGTAAAACAACTGTCTTTTGGTCATACCTTATACCTGTTCTTTCCATGTCTTCTGCAGGCATGTTCACCTATGATGAAAGCACAAAGCTTTTCTGGTTCAACCCCTCATCATTTGAAAATGAAGGCCAGTTCACTTTGATAGGTATTGTCCTGGGCCTAGCTATCTACAATAACTGCATTCTGGACGTGCACTTCCCTATGGTGGTTTACAGAAAGCTAATGGGAAAGAAAGGAACCTTCCGAGACCTTGCAGATTCTCATCCGGTAATATTGCATTTGGCTATTGTTTTATTATTTCTTAGTATGTCAAATCAGAAAAGAGGAGAAACTTATATGAGAACTCACCTGACACACTCAGGAGCACAATTTTAAAACACTGTTCCCTGTTCAAACAGCCAGTGACTGACTAGACAATTTTGTCATGATTCCATTTTTTCATCATGTATGCTGCTGCCTGGGGCAGGTTCTTTATCAGAGTCTGAAGGAGCTGCTGGAGTATGAGGGCAACGTGGAGGAAGACATGATGATCACTTTCCAGATATCACAGACAGATCTGTTTGGCAACCCTGTCATGTATGATTTAAGGGAAGGTGGAGAGAAAATCCCTGTTACCAACGATAACAGGAAGGTCAGTCACCTTTTTATACACAAAAAGTGTAGTTTGACAGCAGCACAAATTAATTTGTGACCAGTTAACTGTGTTCCTTTCTGCAGGATTTTGTAGCACTCTATGCTGAATATATGCTCAACAAAAGTGTGGAGAAACAATTCAAGGCATTCAAAAGAGGTTTCCATATGGTTACTAATGAGTCTCCACTGAAGTATCTGTTTCGACCTGAGGAAATTGAGCTACTTATATGTGGCAGCAGAGTAAGTGAGCTGTATACAAAGTTACAGTCATCTGATCTTACTCCCAGTGTCTGCACTGTGTGGTTTGGATAATACCCATGTCTGTTTTTCACTTCCAGAATCTTGACTTTCAAGCACTCGAAGAGACTACAGAATATGATGGTGGTTACAACAGGGATTGTCGCATTATTAAGTATGTAAAAAAAGCTGTGCTTGCATTAAAATGTCATTTCAGTCCTCTCGCTGTCATGTCAAAACCTTGTATGTCCAGTTTTTTTTTCCGATATCGGTATATAGCGTGATATATAGCATACCAGCTGCTTATTACTCTGTGTGAACATTGCATTATGTGTGGACCTATACAAATGCTTTGAAATCACATAGAATAAAATATTAAGTTACCGTACCTTGTTAAACAAATCTGCTCCGTAATTACCACTTAGATGCCTTGTTCAGAGGACCCAACAAAGGTGGAGACAGGCTTAGATGATGGTTGTACTGGAAAGCATGTGCTGTATTCTTGCATTAGATGCTGAACATGTAAATGATGATGACAATACTGTTGTTTGACCTTCAGGGACTTCTGGGAGACAGTGCACTCATTTGGACAGGAGCAGAAGAGGCTGTTTCTGCAGTTCACCACAGGCACCGACAGAGCGCCTGTGGGCGGCCTGGGCAAATTGAAGATGATCATTGCCAAAAATGGGCCAGATTCAGACAGGTAATGACAAGGCATTTGCATATTGGAGCTTTATAATAGTCCTAATTTTTCTCACTTCTGTTCTCTATTTGCGCTGAAAATTTGTTACGAGTGAACTCTTTGTTTGCATGTTTGAATCTTCTGAAATTCTTTGTTTTTGTTACCCGTTAGGTTACCAACCTCTCACACCTGTTTCAACGTGCTGCTCCTCCCTGAATACTCCACGAAGGAGAAACTTAGAGAGAGACTCCTCAAAGCCATCACTTACGCCAAAGGCTTCGGCATGCTCTGAGGCATGAGGAGACGCAAAAGAACTCAGTCAACTTCAGAGTTTTCGTGTGTTCGTCAAAGGCGAAATCAACTACACCGACAAAACATAAATATCAAGTTTAAATGTAAGGCAGGATATGAAATGGGCTAAAATGGGAAAGTTCTGGTGACCGAGTGCCTGTGCCTAAATAGTAGATAAAACCACACTGGACTCTTGGCTCTCTCCCTCTAATGTAAGTGTTAAGTTTCCCTTTTTGTATGCACTGAGATATAGCACTATTTATTTTAAGGGATAAAGTCTGTTCTTTCATGTCTGCCTGGAATTCAGCTCACTTTTTGATTTCTTATGCGGTAGAAGGAGGGACAGTTAGAGATTTCCAACACCTTCAGGACTGATCACCACATAAACCTAAAGAAATATTAAAAAAAAAAAAAGAACAAAAGAGTAAAGGGAGGGGGAAGTTACTGTTGTACTATGGTTGAACTGTGAAAGTGCACTTAACTCAATATTCAGAATGTCTGTTAGTTTTCTGTCGACCGCTCGTTGACATGTCGTGCTCATGGTTCATAGGTCTTCCCCAGTCAGTCCGCACATCGCCAGCGATGCTTTTCGAGGTACAGAGCAACTTCAGTCCAACTTTTGTTACCAGGAATCTGTATTTATTGAGGAACTGCATTGTTTGTAAATGCCATGTCGGCAAGTTGTGCTGCTTGCTTATGGCCAGTGTTCTGTATTTAGCCGCAGAGTCTGGTTCTCTGTCTTACTTCAGTATGATGACATGATTAGCCGAAACCAGTCTGCTCTCGTGGTGTACTCATGGCAAAGGAAAGACTATGAATAGACAAATGAAAGACAAAGAAAACCACCTCTCCTTTACAATGTTTGCAAAGCCCTTATTTGGAGAGATAGAGGTTTATTTCTTTACCAATCTTGTTTTAATTCAGGATGGCAGACTTTTAAGCTAATTACAAAATGCCCTTATCAGTACTCCATTGAAGTCAGCTGGGTTAATATTTTAGTAGCTTTGTTTTGCTCCGCACAGTGTCTGGCCCAAATAACTATACTGTTGAATGAATGAGGGGATATTGGCACAAATTGTACCACTATCATGACGTGCCAAAAATGTATGCTGAGATTCACCCCTCAGGTTTACCCAAGTACAGCTGGAAACCCACTTTAGTGATGCCCTGGATCCACTGAGATTTTCTTTTGCTCATCATTTTGCTGTTTTCTCTCTCTCAGATAAATGTGTCTGTGGTTTGTTCCACTGCTGATGGCGCTCACATTAAAGGGGTAACAGAACTTGATATTGAGAATGAAAGCATTTGATTGTTTGTTTCCAGTTATTCTTAAATAAATTAAAAACTGTAAAACTTTAGTGACTTTAGTGTGTAAACGTAAAGCAGCTCAGAAATGACTTGTTTTCCAGTTGTTCCAAGACAGAATGTAATGTGAAGGTAAGCACGAGCCCTCATGGTTGAAGATTGAGAAGCATTTTTACAGCCGGCGACAGTTTAAAAAGAAAATATTTGTAGTATTTTTTTCTAAAACAATGATTAACTGCTCTGAGATTTTAGAACAAACAGTAGCCTTGAGATTTAATTTGCTCTAAGACTGAAGTGAGTGGTTGCTGGGTTCTGTTCCCATTTAAATTCAATTAAGCTGTAGAAACTGACCAATGAGTAAACCCATAAACTGCATTGTTTCTCTAAATACTGGATTTGGGCCATATATTGGGACAGGATTCAACAGGAAAAATAGCTGTTGAGACATGAAATTAAAAATGTGTATGAACAAAATGTCCTTAAAAAACAGCGTAGCTTTAAAAAAAAAAAAGTTAATCTTGAGCAAGCTGACATTCATTAGTACACGTCTTACATACATTTCATACATTCAAACCTGTTTATATTCCTCTTAAAACTAGAATATCACAAATGAAATGAAATTGAATTGAAAGTTTTAATCTTCCCAGTTAACAGTTTGTTCAATAAGCCTTCTTTTCTCACCCAGGTTCTTTCTACTTTTGCATGAGTGGTACTATAGCAGTGTGATTTTACTTTGCAGCAGTTCAGTGCTAGATATATGGTGACTGGTCCATGCCCCTTACTGGCCAGTAAAAAAAATAGGCTGGCCTTCCTCCTGTTCACAGCCTGAGTGTTCTGGAGTATCTGGGTACAGTTGTCTTGGATCTCTCAGCACACAACCAGTCTGAAGACTTACTGTTTTAACTCTGTTCCCTAACCTCTTACCTTTCAGTCAGACTCCTGATGAACTTGGAAGAATAAGGCTTATGTCAATCCCTAGCCACTTTTAACACCACCTGAGTTGTGGCTTAGTGCCTCTGAATAGCTTCTCCCGAGTACTAAGAGCCTTACACGGGGTAAGCACAGCCTGAACGTTACATGTGGTAAAGACATTCTTGGACAACATTCTCCAAGAAACACAGAAAGGCCAGCGTTCAGTTCTGTCAAAAGATGTTTTAACACTTATTGATTCTGTAGGGTGGCATTCATAAGGTTACATAACACTTACATAGGTCTTTCATGACAACTGATATAAACCCACATTAACATTTACAAAGCCTTATTCTAACAAGCAACAGTTGCCATACATGCTGCTTCAGTCGATTCTGATGTCATTTCACCCCAGAAAGTGTTGTGACAACTGATAAATGTTTATATAGGTATATGTCACTTGCCATGAGGGGATTATGTAGGTGTTGGCCTGATGAACGCTGCTCTGCAGTCAGGTAATACCAGTGCTCTTAAAGCAGTGCTGTACGGTGTTTCAACCTGAAGCAGGTTTATAGTATCTGTACCTTCTATAAAGTCACTGGTCATGTTATTTGAATATTTTAGAGCAGCATTGGTATTTCCTGTCTGGTTTGTTAGAGCCGTTTAATCAATCATTGCTCAAGATGATCTAAAGCAAGATGATCTTTACTCTTAGTAAAGTAAAACTGGTAATTTCCTTTTACACAGGCTGGCTAACAACCACACAGAGGTCAGACAAACTAAATGTCTGAAGACAATTTCAATGCACAGTTTTAAAAACCCTAGTCATAAGAAGTTTTGCAGTTTACCAAATTAAAAATGAATACTCCTGAAGAACACTGATATTTTAGGGAAAAAACCACACACAATCAGCCTGCATTGTGACTGTTGGACCGCACAAGCGTTTTAAACCAGAGACAGCAACTCCAGTTAAGGAAGAGGTATTACAAAGGTTTTGTTTAAAACAATATATTTTAGTTACAACCCCTTGGTTCTTTTTTGGTGCACAATGTGTACTGTCCAGTATGACCCATTCTGACAACTCAAACCCTGCTTTCAGATGAGCCCAGTAATGTAATCCTTTGGATTACTTAAAAAGTGTAATGTAATCTCATTATTTTAATTACTTTTGGACTTTGCTCTCATGGTGAGCAGTCATAGTGACCCAACTATTGTGCAATTAATAGGCACACTCAGTAAATTAAAATACTGGTTTATTGATGTTGCCTAATCAAAAATGTAACCAAAATATATTTACAAGTACATTATTTTTGTGATCAGATTAACTAAACCAGATTATATGTTGTCTGTTACAACCTAATAGTCCCTGTCCATGCACAGACATCATGCATGTGTTAAAATCAGTATCAGTTATCTGAAAGCACCCTGTTTCGATGCCTTTATATTAGCTGAAAGCAGCAATCCACTTGTAGCTGAAGAGAATGAATTAAAGGCAGAGAATTTATTTCAGAATTTATTAAAGAATATATTTAAATTTAAATATTTAAATTAAATTTAGATGCTAAACATCCTCAATGGCCCCAAGGACAGTGCACCTCTGTGTGTGTTTGGGGGGGGGGCACCAGCTGTCATATTGAAATGCTGTTGATTAACCAACAGCAAAAACAAGCTCACTAACATAAAATAACATGTTGACCAACAACTTAATTTAGGATAACACATGGTAAACTGGTCAGTGCTTTGACATGTATGAAACTCTGTAGAAATAAGGACATTTTCTCCTGTAGCTTCATTACTTGTCAACTTCTTAAAGTGTAGTTGAAGCATCCTGAAATGTCCTTACAGATAAAAAAGACCCTTATGTAGTTGACATTACGTACTCTGAAGGATAAATAAGTCCTTGCATGTTGCTTGCAGACCCACACTGATTACAAGGACAAACGTCATATAAACAATGTTTACAATGAGAATATATAATATGTGCACATGAATTCAACTCATAATACTTACACTTTATGATACATAAAAGTAATGGTACGTAATAGAAGCACACATATCCGTAATTTATAAACAAAATGTATAAACAGTTTAAAAGTAGTGTGCTGCCTATATTTGAAAATATGTACATATTTAAAAAAAGACCCCCTTGACTCTTGACCCCATTGTCTGTGGTATATCCATTCACATCCTGTGTTTTGTAAAGACTATCTATTTTGTTTTCTTCTCTTCTTCCTTTTTGTCTTCGACCACTTCTGACAGATCTTCTGCCCGCAGTGTTTTCACTTTGCTCTCCATGTTGGAGAGCCTTTGCTTGATCTTGCTCTGGTAGGATGTGTATTCTGCCATGAGTTTGCCAAACTTGCTGGACATGACGTCAAGATTGCTCTCCAGCCGCAAAATCTTTTCCTCCAGGTCTTTGGGGTCAGCTCCTGCGTTGGCCACTGCTTCGTCTATCAGGTTGTCTTTCATCAAGATGGCCCTCCCTTTCTCCTCCAGGGCCTTTTTGGCCTCGGGATACTCTGTAAGCGCTTCCATGAGGTCGTCTTTGGAGAGGGCGAAAAGGTCGGAGTAGCCCACGCTCCGGATGTTAGCCGTCCGTCTGTTCCCAGCTTTACTGCCCTTGATGCCGAGGATACTGATTTCTCCAAAGTAAGCTCCATCACTGAGTACTACGAACTGTGTAACGCCATCATCAGCCACCACAGCAAGCTTCCCTTCCTTTATGATGTACATCTCTCTTCCAATGTCCCCCTTCTTACAGATGTAGTCTCCAGGGCTGAACACTTGAGGCTGCAGTTTCAGTACCAACTCAATAAGCAGTCCAGCTTCACAATCCTGGAAAATCCGCACCTTCTTCAGCGTATCCAGATGGACATTGATGGCAATCTCAGCCTTAAGCTTGTCTGGAAGGTTCTTTAAAACCTCCTTTTCGTCACAGGTTTTCTTTTCCGTCCAGAGGTAGTCAAACCACTTGATGACCCTGGCCTCCAGGTCTTTGGAGACTTTACGGAACTGCATGTATTGCTTGATGGAGTCTATCTTGGCCTGAAACTCAGCGCGGGAGGCGTTCATGTTGGAGATCATGGCACCAACGTTACCGACGATAGTAGCAAAAATCAGCACTCCAATGAGGAAGTCAGCAACGACAAACAGATACTCAACATCTCTGACAGGAGGGGGGGTTTCTCCAATGGTGGTTAGGGTGAGAGTGGACCAGTACAGACAGTAGATGTATTTTCTAGCCAGGCGTCCGTATTCAGGATGGCTAATGTTGGGGTACACCCACGTGTCTGTGCCGAAGCCGATGGTTTTAGAAATGGCGTAGAAGATGCAGGCGTTCCAGTGGATAATGATCAAGATGTAAAGTACAAGGTTGCTGATACGAAAAATATTAGGATAGTTTGTTCTGGTCTCTGTGCGGTCAAAGAACTCAAAGAGCCTTGCCATTTTAAAAAGGCGATTGAACCGCAGTTCTGGGTTGTTGTATCCCACTTTCAGCATTAAAATATCAGTTGGAATCATTGACATAATGTCATATTTGAACTGTGAGGTTGTTCTGTAGTGGTCCATCAACTTCTTGCCATCTTTAACCAGAAGGCCTTGCTCCAGGAAACCTAAAAATAAGAAAAGAAAACTTTTTGATCTATTTCATGGGTTCTACGGTCATTAACAAATAATTTCAAAAATTAAAATTCTTCAAAAGTCAAAAGTAAAATCGCATGGAACCTCAATGAAACATCAACAATTTTGCTTTGGTTTTTAATCTTTTATCAAGCTTTAATCTTTTATCAAAGATAAGAGCTCTGTCTTTACCTGTTCTTGATCTTACAAATGTGTCTGTGTAGTAGATAGCATCTGAGGTGTAGTCCAGAATGATCCACAGGACAGTGTATGTGGACTGTAGCTCATTGAAACAAGCCCTATAGAAATATAAACACCACCACGATACCATAAGCATCTCAACCACCCCATTCCTCCACACCCCCAAGCTTAGTTACAGGCTGAACCATGTTCATAAGCAGACCTTGTTACGATCATCATCAGGTTGTAAAATACTGGCGCTGCTATTACTGTGAGCCATCGATAATATGTGTCTGCGGCTGGGTCCATGATCCACACTTCTTTCCTAAAGAAACAAAGCTAGAATAACTACCCAAGTTCTTAGGTTGAACAGTACAGCAACTAATACATTTTACACTGTGCAAAACAGGGATCATTTCGAACAATTTAAATGAATTCAGTTCAGTAGTACTTTCCTAAGTAGTTAACAGAGTTGATCCAACAGATTTCATGAGTCTGCAATATCTGTAACATACTTACGGTGGCTCTTCTTTCTTTTTATCATCCTTCTTATCGTCCTTCTTGTCATCTTTTTTCTCATCCTTCTTTTCATCCTTTTTCTCATCCTTCTTTTCATCCTTTTTCTCTTCCTTTTTCTCCTCCTTGCCTCCATCTTTTTTCTCTTCCTCTTTTTTCTCATCTTTCTTTTTTTCCTCTTTTTTGCTAGAGGTAACAATTTTGTTTTTATTAAGTTAAGCAAGTTCAGGTGTTTTCTACAGGGAGCCACTACAGACCTAAACCACTAATCTAATGGGGTGTATTGTGATTTGTTTGCCTATAGGTGGCAGCATTAACACTGCCAAATGTCAGTTAGTAAGTACACTAACACAAGGAACTAAATCAGCTAAATTCTATAATGTTCTTAAACCAGCACCATTATATCTTTTTTTTTAATGCAGTGATGCATTGGATCTATGCACATAACTGTTAGTAATCAACCTCTAGTTATATTAACATCACATACTAAAGTCCTAGAATTACCTAGTGATAACTAAGGGTTTGGCTCTAAAGTAACTACTATATACTTACTCATCTGTGTTGTTGCAGTTGTTCACATTGTACACAGCTAGTGGCCATTGACGGGTATTTCTTAAGAGGAAAGGATCATTCAGTTTGATGAAAGTTCTGCAGACATGAACTTACTACTACTAAATCTATACTCTCACTGTTCTCTTACTAAAATAAAGGCAACGTTTTGCTACTCACAGGGAAGCCTATGTGGAAATCTACATACTGTCTCTCTGGATTGAGTCAGTCCATCATTCTAACCCCATCTTCATTGGGGTTATTCGTCTTATGTAGACCAGTTCTCCACTTCCACTTGACTTCACACCAGGGTGCATCATACCAGTGTTATCACTTGCATTATCTTTATTTATCCTGTGGAGCAGAAGTGTCAAGCTCACGTCCTGGAGGGCTGCAGCCCTGCAGAGATTAGTGCAACACTCTGAAATCAATTGATTGCCAATTCGCCAATGAGTTTAATCTAGTGGGCCAAATGAGGTAAGATGCTAAACTCTGCAGCGGTGGTCCTCCAGGAGTGAAGCCTGAAAACCATGCTGTAGAGACTGCCCCACGGTCCGTGCTTTTCACTTACTTCCTCTTATGAGGCCTGTCAGGGTGCCCTATGGAGGAGTGGGCATAGCTGCCACGGCTTGAAATATCTTTGAGCTCGGGCCCACGGAATCGCTCTAAGAAGGAGTCGGGCCGCTCGACCTCACGCTGCAGTCTGTGTGATGCCCAGTTCCGCAGCATAAACAGGAAGTGGGAGAGCCTGGGAGATCAATACAGGTAAGACACTAACACTCCCATGCTCTCTACAGTATGTAGCTTTCGCTGCCTCCTGGGTCAAATGTACACTTTACATATTCACACTGATGCCTGGTTGTTATAAAGGGCTGTTTGTTGTTATTATTCAATTCAAGTACATACAGTACTGCGCAAACGCCAGAGACCAGCTAGAACACTTTATTTAAAATCCAGTCAAAATCACTATTATTCACTTTTTTGTAAGAGAGAATAATTCACTATTATTCTCAATAAATGATTAAAGGATGTAGAGAAAATGGGATTTTAACAACCATGCAAGACCTGCTTGAACACTATAACTGTCAACATCAGATAAACAGTACTTTTTAGCTTTCATCTTTAAGAGAGAGCAGAAAATCAAGCTGCACTCTTGCTTCCGATCTGTTTCTGTCTACCGTTCCAATGTGAGAAGACAACTCAATGCTATGGGTGTGAAAGAATAAATTTTGGAGATGTGGAAACATTTACCAATAGATTTCTTAGAGAAACAAAGTCTCACAAAAAGAATGTAAATAATGTATAAATTGCAACCGGTAAGCACATTAAATGCTGAAAGATTGAAAATACTATTTAGTTGTTAAGGCTTCTGTGTAAAGTTCTGTTTTCTAATTTTTCCTGATGCTGATAAATGAATAACATATACTGCATGGCATTCTGGACGGAAATTAAATAAATGAAGGGTGGTCTCGAACATTTGAACAGTACTGCTCTCTTAAGATTTGAGGAGACCATATCATTGGTTGTGAACGAAATTTGAGCATTTTTGAGCATTAAATGTGAGCATTTGTCATTCAAACACACTCTGCATGTGTATTTGACCCAGATTGGCATATTCTATAATGGATTCTACGGAGTAGTGTTTCCTAAGCCTGGTTTTGGAGTATCCTTGCACTGTACAGTTCAGCGGTTTCTCTGCTCTAACTTAGCTGATTCAGCTTACAAACAGCTTGCTAATTAGCTAATGAGTCTAACCAGGTCTACCTCAGCTGGGATACTCCAAGCCCAGGAATGGAAATCACTGCTATGCAAGATGGTAAACTCTACATAGATAGGGGGGGTTGATGGAGTAGATGATGTCTAGATGGTGAGGGGAAGTAGTGCCTGAATGAGTCGGTCTACATGTTACCTGGCCATGGCCCCAGAACCTGTAAACGAGCTTCTGCGAGACTCCTGAAGCTGACTGGTTGCTGTGGAATTGATTCCTTGCATGTCAGAGGTAGTGTCGTCACATATAGAGTGTATCCTGTGATAAATGAAAGGAAGAAAGTCAGAGGCACAAAATTACATCTCTTTATGTTCACATACAGGAAGATCAATTGATAATGCAAGTAAATTCTATGATCTTTTTTATGTCTGTACAGACACAGAAAAACAATGCTTGTTTATTCATCTTTCTCCATTATTTATTTGTTTGTTGGTTGCTTTGTTTACAGAATAGTCTATAGGTTATAGCTAGGCAGTGTGGAGAAATATTCAAATCAGATTTTCATTCTTTTTATACAGTGTGCATAGTAAGGCTGCACAATATGAACAGAAGGCTTATACTGCTATTACTATATATATTGTGATTGCTATGCACCTTGCAATATATTAAAAATACTAATAAGGTGCTAAATAAGGTCATATGGCTAAAAGACTGGTCAGAATTATTTTGACCAAAATAATTTCCTTTTGTTGGAACACATGAATACCTTGATATATCAAAACACCCACATAAATGCTCATCTGGACCTGCGACTGGTCAAAAGGTCCACAGAAAAAAGGCCAGTATCATGACAACAACTAAAAACAATATATTGTGTAGCCCTACACACTTAACAAAAGATTGCTCTTCAAAGGTTATTTAGTACAGAAAATTATTCTATATAGAAACATGAATACTTTGCATGCTTAAATGGTTCTTTACACAGTGAAAAGGTTCTTCAGATTGATGGAGTATGTGCTGTATGATTCTATATAAAACCTTTTTGAAAAAGGTTCTATATAGCACCAAAAAGGGTTCTTCTATTGATACAAGACTGACATAGTCACAATAGAAGAACCCTGTTCAAAAAGGTTCTATATAGCACCATATACAACATTCTCCATCAATCTGAAGAACCAATTCATGATGCAAAGAACCCTTTAATCATGCAAAAGGTTATTTGAGTGTTCATGGCTCTATATAGAATCATTTTCTTTACTACAGAACCCTTGAAGAACCAACTTTTTTGAAGAGTGTACTGAAGAGGATCATTTGTTTATAAGGCTGTGTTGATTTAGCCTATTTAGATATGTATAGCCCGTATGTAGTAGATATGTGAAAAATACAAAAAAGGAACATGATACAAATAAACAAAGCCTGTGATGTCAAACCTGCTGGCACCATTATCAGTTTGGTCCACTTCATCATCCAAGGCTCGAACTGATAGCCTGTGGCGCGTTGGGTACGACTCTTCAGTGCAGATTTTCGCCATTCTCACTGTTCACGCTCACCCCTGCCAGGACATGCAGCTCCTGCTAGAACACTGCACACAAAGGTTGTAGCTTACAATTCACTCCAGCTGAATGTTTTTAGATGTGTCACCAGAGCCTGGAGTAAAAAAGAGAGCTTTACCAAGTATATAATATTGAGTTTGTTCTCATTTGGGCTTTCACTACTGATTTATATTAATAACTCTACCGATTATTGTGACAATTAGTCAATTAAATCACTTAATAAAATGGACTTAAGTAAACACAACAAACCATGCATAGCCTATAAATAGCTTATTGGAAAAAAAGATAGACAAGAAAACCTTTAAAAAGGCTAGATTTAAAAAAATAAAATGCATATTGATCGATGTGTCCATCAGCTTTTGTGATTTACTGCAAAAGAGAGCAGAAATGCATTAACATCAGGCAAATTTTAACTAATTCATCATGAGAGTAAATTTTTAACAATCACATTTCAATTGAGTAGTGCTGGCAGGTAGGTTCAGGTGTCTATATCAAATTTTTCCTTTGATAAGATTGGTTAAAAGCAGTTTATAGCACTACTAAAAAAATGGTTCATAATTCATTTACATAGACAGTTTCACTGTTCTTATCTGTGCATTGTTTTGCTTTGCTGCAAACGATGAACTTATCTCCAATGTTTTTAGTATTCTTGAAATGACATCTCCTGCTTGTTTCTCATTACGGACCCTTCAACATGAAGAGCTGTACACATGATTGTAGCACTGTGGTCTGAGGAGATTTGAGAGACGTGCTGTTGATGTGATCTCTGCAAACCAATTTTCACGCTGACAATACTGCCATCTGAGCTCCGGGCCTAAAAATACAGCCTGCTTAGTCGGACAGTCTAAACACTAAACAGGATCAGCCACCCATCCCTCAGAAAGATCACACTACAGATTTACATAAATCCAGCCACACAGTTTCAGCCTGCAAGCCTACATGTTTCTAAATGTATCAAGACAACGAGAGTAGGCTGGTCTACAAAACCCTTGAATGTACATTATATTGTTTTTGCCACATTCTTTTCCCGAAAGCATGAATACAGTTTCACCAAAATGACAATTTTATATTTCCACCTGATGATGTGTAGTTTTATTGTGGCATGGGAGGAGATGAGTGAAAGTGGGCTAAGAATTACAATAATCTTAAAGATAACAGAGCTATAATAACAATGCTTACAGTACTTTGGAGCCAGTGAAAGTGCAGCAAAAGCCTTGTGGGACAAAATATGCATTTTGGAAGTAATCTGAAAACTGTATGTCTGCTCTGCTCTGAGGCGAAGAAAAGTCCTTCTGATCTGACATGTTCTCAGTTCCTCAAAGTCTCTCTCATCATCTTCACACTAGATCTATAATCTGCTCCTTGGGCTTGCTCAGGAGGACAGGGAGAAACTGTGGACCAATCACAATAAAATATCTCTCTCCCTCTCTCTCTCTCTCTCTCCTCCCTCCCTCACTCACTCTGTTTACATATAATCTCGTTATTTAGTCATTTGATCTCACATAGTCCATGTAAATGTTTTACAAGGTGTAAATAATCTGGAAACAGAAAGATGCTATTTTTTTTTCCAGAGGATACCTTTGAAGGAGACATTTGAAGGAGACATTTTGAGAAGATACCTGTAGCTCGTCTCTTAGATGGTTCATCTCTACACTGTAAAAATCGGTAACCTCAAAAGTTACTTCATGTGCTAACAAGCAACTGAACTGGTTTAATTCAACTCAAATAAGCACTTTGAATGAAACAGTGGCTCATCTAGAGTATTCAGATGAATAAAACTACTTAAATTGCTTGTTACCCCATGAAGTAATTTTTTGGCTGAATTGAAGAACTATTTTTACAGCGTATTTAGCCACGGAGGGTGAATGTTGCTAAGCTGTTTGCACACAGTAGCTCTCATGGGGCTGACGTTCTGGTTAGTGCTTTGGTGAAATTAGCCTACCAAATGTGTTTCATACACAAAACTAGCCTACTGTCAGCCTTTTTGTACACTTGCTGTTCATTTCTGACAGATTTTTGTCAAAATTTCGTTCAAACTCACCTGCAAGGCTTGAATGAGATGATAAAAGTTACTTCATCGACAGATTTAACTGTGATGACTTCTCCGCTCTCTGGGTTTCTGTCAGAACGAGCCTGAACACCTTTCAATCCTCAAGTTCCTCTCATGTGACAGGGTAAAATCCCATTATTGCAGAAAAAATTCCACGTTTCGTGTTTTGAGCCATAATCCACTTTGTTCTGTGTGAAACAGGGTCATATTAATCCACCACCGTCCTCACAGTTTCAGATATTTGTGTATCCACTATTACTGAGGCAGGCTTCTCACAGACCGAGCGCTAACGTGCGGTGGAGGGGGCGGAGCCAACAGCAATTCACGCCGGTTGTTTTTTTTCCCACCCGCATTCTGACAAACTCCGCCTCTTGCACTGTGATTGGATAGTAGCCCATCCTCACAAGCGATCTGTCAAATTACTAGCCAATCTCAGCGCAGGAGGAGTTGTCGGAATACAGGTGGGAGAAACATTACGCTTCTCATTAATATTAATTTGTGGTAGTAATATGCAGTACTCAAACTCGTTATCTCTCACCTCGCTTTATTTAAATGAGACTCGACCACTACGTTACTGTAACGCTTTCAACAAAAGACTTTCAGTAACAATAGTTCAGCCGTAACTATTCAAAACTCACCACAGTAGTAATAATACACTATTATTGCAGAGCAAGACCTGTATTTAACAAAAAAAGAAAACTTTGCCCATCTAAAGCGAATGCAAAGGTGAAAGAAACACATTGTTTACACAGTCACTGAAGAAATAATAGTAGAAAATGGCAAATATTAGACAGCCTAGTAGATTTCATCCCTCATAATATAAAAATTACTTTAATGAATATCACAGTCACTTAATTTTTGAGCTGCATAGTCCATGTCTATTTTAATGAATATTTTTGTACTCTGTAGGCAGTACAACACAAGCTGTAGATTCACTGCCACATCAGGAAGGCCTCTCAGCTCAGTTACAGAGATCATGTCCTGATAGCCTAAAGCAGGAGGCAGCTGCCATGTGATTCCTGAAGACCAAATGACACAAATCCCAAAACTCACTGGGTGGCACTGAAACACACAGAGAGTTGCACCAAGAGTTGAACACTCATGGTCTTTGATGTTAAAGATGTCTTGTAGTGGTATGTTGCATACTCTATTATCGCTATGACTCAAAGCATTTTACATTTTTAACATATTTAGTTTATTTTTCTAAAACTTTTGTTACACTGAATAATCTATTAACCATTCTTTATGTAAGAAAGCAATGTCTTTTTAATGAATAAGCAATTTGGCCAATTAGAGTTGGGATGAAATAAGTGTCTAGCATCAGAGTCCGATCACCTGCCTGGCTCACAGCTCTCCTCCTCCCACCCCCAGAGACCCGAGAAATCCTTAAGGCAATCTGCAGAGCTGCATCGCTAATCCCAGATTAGGCCTGAGCACCTATCTGAGCTACCTAATGCTCCTTCTTGGATTCAGCCCCTCAAATCATGTATGTGCACCTGTTGCACTGAGCTAACCTCAGGTCGTGATGATGACCGCTCTGCTGCTCCAGACAAGGTGCCAGTGCTACTAAAACAGGCTCTGTTCCAAGGACAACAATAATCAAAAGAGAAGAGGAGGAATGACGGAGTTGTTAATAAGGAGGGTCATTCTGGAGCAAATTAGAGAGAGAGAAAGAGAGAGAGAGAGAGAGAGAGAGGTTGAAAACTATCACTTTTAAGACTGGAAAATTACAGCATAGACTGACTTGATATCTTCACTCTCCTTCTCCCAAGACAGGGAAGATGAATAGCTTAAATTTGTACTTGTAGACTTCATTCTGACATATAATTGTAATTGTAATTGTAATACTAATAAAGCTAATTACCAGCCTTAAAACATTTGGCTAGTTAAGACATGACTCTTAGTGTCATGTTATCCAGGGTGTGATATAGATTCCCCCTTTAAGCCCCTTAACCTCAGCCATCTGTTGCAAGCAGAAGACGTTTGTGCGTACACAGTATAAACCAAACCTTTACAAAGCTTAGAAATGAATGATGAATACAACACCTCACTTAACAAGGAGTATCAATTAAATAGTCTATTGTATTCTAAAATACTAAGAAAAATTTTCTTCTTAGAATTACCAAAATTCTTCATAGAATGTCAGGTGTGACTCATTTTGGCTTTCATACGGGAATCAGCAGCCTGTAAAATCCTGGATGAGATGGAATCATTGAAAAAAGACAGTTTGGTGTAAAGGGGTATAAAGGACAGCAGAATTTAACTGACATGATTATCAAGTTTTCATTCTCTTTAATGGTTCCCAATATTTTGCAGATTACCCTGAAATTACATGAATTACTTTCTAGGCCAGCTGGAATTTATATGGTAATTTAATATGCAGACAATGAAATGGGGGGGAAAGGATAAGAAAGGGTAATGAGTGCAGAAATCATTCTCAGACAGCCTGGAGTTATAGGCAAGGCACATGAGAGCCGTTCAGAAGCTTGCGATAGACAAAAGAGCAGGATATGAGTTCATATGGGGACAGAGAGGACATTACCATATGCCAGCATGACCTAAAGCTGCAGGACAACTTTGATTACAGTAATATAAAGAGAAATGTGACTGCATAATTGAACCTGAAGCAATATAGCCCAGAAATACATGATAGGAAAAGAATGAAACATTTTTAATGATGTCCAAATAATAGGCAATAATGATATATAATCATAATATAATTAAATGCATTATTCCAGCAATAATGCATTATTATTATTGTTATCATATTATATTGTTCTTAGAGCTGTCAATTTAGATAATAGAGATAATAACATATATGCAATAGAAGGATCAATAATTTTTCCCCTAATGTAAAATTATGAAAGGATGATTTTTGAAATTATGTCATTTACAATTTTGCCATAAGCAATCATCAACTAATACCTG